CTGCAGGCTGGAATGGGAAAAGGAAGCCGCTCCATTTAGGAATCCCTCGTGACCGCCCCCGGCAGGCGCCACCCACTGATGGCCAAAACCTGTTCTCGCTGCGGGCTGCGGGCGCTGAAGAGGCGAGAAGGGCGAGGGGAACGCAGACCCCCCCATCTCCCCGCCTCCCCAGCCTTGGGACACCCGGGTGTCAGTTTGCACTTTCTTGGGGTGAAACAGATTTGCGGAGTTTGAGTTTAAGGGAGGTGGCCCGCTGTATGGCCTTTCCGATCAGGAGGACAAGGCTGGGGGTGCGCAGAGGGCCCGCTGAACCTCACCCCGAGCGGCTGGTGGGGGAAGCCTGGTGCTCTTGGTCCACACTGAGCCAGCGGCGCAGGCAGAGGGCAGAGGCCTTTGGAAGTCTAGTAGCAGTGAGAGGCAAGCAGAAATTAGGGCCTTGGGATCCCCCAAACACTACCCTGTGCTGAACATAGCCTGAGTCAGGAGGGGTCTTCCAGAGCCCGGAGCTTGGGTGAAAGCGTGCCTCGGACCCCCTGAGCAGGTCCAGTGATTCCCTCAAACCTCTCCTCCATCGACCAGGCACTGAAGTTAAACTCTCCCTCGGAACAGAAGTCAGAGAAAAGTCTCCATGTACAAGAGGGTCATCCGACTGCAGACACCTCTGTTTTCAGTCAGACTTTTTCCAGGGCAGCAGAACAAACCAGTTCTTCCAAAGAAAATGGCCTGGTTAAGTGGGTGAGGAGGAGGTGAGTGGGCCAAGACGCCAGACCCTTGCCCTGTATGTCTCCTCATTGCATGACCTCCTGCCTCCCCTCTCTTCCTTTAGGAATTATCACTCCTGACTAGTGGAAGTTACTGGGAGCCACATTTGTCAAATGCCTGGACTGTGACTTCAGCAGGAAATGAACGAAAGCAAAGGAGTGAAGCTCTTTTTAGTGAACAGTGACTGTTCCCCCAAAAGCCAGATGCTGTCAGGATCACCCAGAGATCTCACTTGGAGCCTTTGATACCAATGGGAGCCACCCTTGTGGGACCTCACTGAACACTCAGTATTAAGCCCCCCTCTCTGGAGCACCAAGCAGCACCATTGTGGCCATGGAGCAGAGGAGAGCCTCCCCATGGGAGAGACCAAGGACCAACGAGATAGGCTGGACTTAGGTGCTTTAGCACAGCCCAGCCTGTGGCACTGCTCTGGAGGTAGCCCCTCTGCTGGAGCTCCCAGCTCTGTGACTGGCTGGGGAACCAGCTGTTGTTGGAAATTTGTGCTCCTCCATCTGCCTCCTGCAGCCCTAAAGCAGGTAAAATGCAGAGCCCAGAGATTGCTAGCACACAGCATCAGGTCAGTCCCCACTGCCCAGCCCAGCTCCTTCCCCTGAACAGATATCTCCCTGCAAACTGTTGACCCATCTCAGCTCAGAACTTGCCCTTACTTTGCATTTCTCTTGTATTTCGATAAGCACAGGGGTTAAGAGTCAGAGCACCTGGGTTAAATCCTGCCTCCCTGACTCTTCACTAGATGATCTCAGGCCAACTTAACCTTTCTGTACCTCAATTTCCTCATCCAGAAAACAGATCACGCTGCCAACCTCACTGGTGAGTACGGAGTAATTCGTCATTCAACAAACATACCAAGCACCTACTAGGCTCTCTTAGAGCTAGGTACCTTTCCAGGTGGCTCAGAGTACATCCCTGAACACAATTAGCTACTCGGGGGAGAGGGAGCAGGCAGTTAACAAAATCAATACCATGATCTGCTAAGTGATCCGTGCTGCAGAGGAAAAGTAAAGTGGATAGGCATCAGGTAACGGTAAGGGGGTGCTGGATCGTTGTATTAAGTCAGGGCAGTGGGGCTCTCTTGGGAGCACACCAGTGCCTTTCCCATCCCTCCAGGCTCTTTACCTTTATCTCCTAAGCTGCAAGGGCCCTTCTTTTGCCTCTGTAACATGTTTCCTGAGCCCATTTTTTCTACAGCTCACTTTTTCTGCTTCTTTGACTTTCTAAATGAACTTTCTTATTGAAAAGAAAAATAAGCCCGGCCAGGCATGGCTCAGTGGTTGAGCGTTGACATAGGATCCAGGCGATCAGGGTTCGATTCCCAGTCTGGGCACATGCCCGGGTTGTGGGCTCGATCAATGACTCTCTCATCACTGATGTTTCTATCTCTCCCTCTCATTTCCTCCCTCTAAAATCAATAAAGATATATTAAAAAAAGAAAAATAATTTCTCAGCAGGCTGAGAAATTTTAAGAAAGAACAAAGTTGGAGGTATCACACTACCTTATTTCAAACTATACTAAAAGGCTCTAGTAATCAAAACAGTATGGCGATGACACAAAGAGAGACATAGAACAATGGATCAGAATAGAGAGCCCAGAAGTAAACCCACACTTATATGGTCAATCTATAACAAAAGAGGTAAGAACATACAATGGGGCTAAAGACAGTCTCTTTAATAAATGGTGTTGGAAAAAGTAGACAGATACATGTAAAAGATAAACTCAAAATGAATTACTGACTTAAATATGAGGCCTGAATCTATAGAACTCTTAGATGAAAACATAGGCAATAAACTTTTTGACATTGGTATTAGCAATGTGTTTTTGGAGAGGTCTCCTAGGGCAAAAACAAGAGCAAAAATAAACAAAGGTAACTATATCAAACTAAACAGCTTTTACACCACAAAGGAAACCATCAACAAGACAAAAAGAAAACCCACTGAGTGGGAGAAGATATTTGCAAATTATATATCCAATATAGGGTTAATACCCAAAATTTATAAAGACCTCATACAACTCAACATCAAAAGAACAAAATAACAACCAGATTAAAAAATAGGCAGATCTACCTGGGTGGGGGGGAAGATTAATTAAAGAACTTATATGCAGATATGGACAGACAATAGTGTGGTGAAGGCCTGGGTGGAGGGCAGATACAAGGTAGAGGGGATCAATGGGGGCGGGGGGGGGAAGAGGGGCATCTGTAATACTTTGAACAAAAAGGATACTTTTTTTTAAAAAGTGGGTAGAGGTCTGGCTCAGCCTGAATGGCTCAGTTAGCTGAACGTTGTCCCACGCACCAAAGGGCAAATGCCTGGGTTTTGGATTTGATTGTGGTCAGGGCACGTAGGGAAGGCAGCCGAAGGAGGTTTCTCTCTCACATCGATGTTTCTCTCTCTCTTTCTCTCTCCCTCCCTTCCATTCTCTCTAAAATCAGTGGGAAAATATCCTCAGGTGAGAATTAACAAAAAAATGTAATAAATAAAAATGAAAAATGGGCAGAGGTCCTCAACAGACATTTCTCCAAAATGGGTATACAGATGGCTAACAGACACAGGAAAAGATGCTCATTGTCACTAATCATCAGGAAAATGCAAATTAAAACCATAATGAGATATCACCACACACCTGTGGGAATGTCTATCATCAGTAAATCAACAAACAGGTGTTGGTAAGAATATGGAGAAAAGGGAGCCCTCATGCACTGTTGGTAGTATTACAAATTGGTGCAGCCACTATGGAAAACAGTATGGAGGTTCCTAAAAAAATTAAAAGTAGAACTACCATATGATGCACCAATTCCACTTCTGGGCATTTATCCAAATAAATTGAAAACACTAATTCAAAAAGATACGTACCCCTATGTTCATTGCAGCTTTAATTACAATAGCGAAGATATGGAAACAACCTTGGTGTCCATCAGTGGATGAGTGGATAAAAAAAGATGTGGTACATAGATACAATGAAATATTATTCAGTCATTAAAAAGAATGAAATCTGCTGCTCTCCCTCCTGGGAGCGCCCCCCACTTTTCCCTCCCCCTCTCCATCCCCCCAGGTGCCTCACCTTGATCTTCCTCACTTCTAAGCTCCAAGCGCCCTTCCTTTGCCTCTATAATTTGTTTCCTAAGCCCATTTCTTCTACAAATTACTTCTTCTACCTCTAAAGAAAAAAAAAATTTAAAGAATGAAATCTTACCATTTGTAACAACATTTATGGAGCTAGACATTATTATGCTAAGTGAAGTAAGTCAGACAGAGAAAGACAAATGAATTCACTTGTATGTGAAATCCAAGAAAACAAAAAGTAAAGAAAACAAAACAGGAATAGATTCATAGATACAAAGAACAAACTGATAGTTGCCAGAGGTGAGGGGGGAGGAGACTGGGTAAAAAAGGTGAAGGAATTAAAAGGTACAAATTGAAAAAATTTTAAATTAAAGAAGAAGTACAAATTGGTAGTTACAAAATAACCACAAGGATGTAAGTACAACATAGGGAATATAATGAATAATATTGTAATAAGAGGTGTTATGCTCCCCAGAAAAGATGTTATCAGACAACCCCCTGAGTTGGAGAGGACTGTCCCCTCCTTGGCTCTTGTCAGT